TAACAATTACAGACACTTTAGCTTTTACAATATGCTTTCATATTATCTTTGTCAGGGCAAGATCTTTCAACATGTTCCTTATTAGTACCATATTATATAGATTTTCAGTAACTATCCATTTTTGTTAGGTATATTCACCCTCTTTTTGATAGACTTCTGTCCCCCTCTCCCCACCAAGCAAAAAAGTGTTCTTTTAATTCCAAAGAACTATAATTAAGAGATGTTGCTCTATGCTAACTTTTAAAAATTTTGTATTAACTCCACTCCTGGGACAAGCAAATATTTAGTCAATGCTTCTAAGTGAATAGGCATCTTCAAAGAACAGGATGCACATACTTGAATGTGTTAGAACCTAACTTTTGGTTTTTCTCTAACTTTTCCCTGCCACAAAGTTCATTTTTGAAGCAGCTAATCTTAAGGGCTGAACCAGTGGAAAGGACGGCTGGGGACGGGGGAGATAAAAGTACAATGAGCAGGCATCTTTATACATAAGTAATGGTGGTTGTATCTTCATTTTCTTGGGTATCCACCTGTAGAAAGATGAATCTGAACCCCTACCTGTCACTGTTAACAAAAATGAACTCAAAGTGGATCAAAGATCTAAATCTAAGATCACAAACTATAAAAATACTGGTGGAAAACATTGGGGAAACTCTGGGAGACATTGGGGTAGGCAGACTTCTTAAGCAAGACCCCCAAAGCACAGGCAATAATCCCCCAAAATAGACCAGTGGGATTACATCAGATTAAGAAATTTCTGCAAAGTAAAGGACACCATAATTAGTGTGAATCAACAAATCTCGCAATGGGAGAGAAATTTTGTTAACTGTGCCTCAGATAAGGGACTGATAACCAGAATACCCAAGGAACTCAAGCGGCTTACCTGGAAGAAAATTATTAACCCAATTAAAAGATGGGAAAATGAGCTGAATAAACAACTCTATAAGGAAGACATGAACAGCCAAAAAGCATATGAAAAAATGCGCAACATCCCTCATTGTAAGGGAGATGTAGATCAAAACCACAATGAGATACCACCTAACCCTTGCAAAGATTAAAAAAACAATAATAAGAAGTGCTAAAGGGGATGTGGTGAAAGGGGAACACTCCTACATTGTTGGTGGGAATGTAAATTGGTCCAGCCACTGTGAAGAACTATATGGAGGTTCCTCAAAGACCTTCAAATGGAACTACCATATAATCCAGCAATTCCACTCCTAGATATCTACCCAAAGGACAGGAGAGCACTCAGTCAGAAAAGCGCTTGCACAACTATTTTCATTGTAGCATTATTCATGATTGCTAAGACATGGAACCAACCCAAATGTCCACGAACAGATGAATGGACTGAAAAATTGTGGCACACATACTCCATGGAATACTCTTCAGCCATATAAAACAAGGTCCTGGAATTTGATAGAAAGTGTATGAACATGGAAGATTTGTTGCTGAGTGAAGCAAGTCAGGCTATGAAATAGACACACAGTATGTCTCCACTTAACATATACTGACTGTCCACACTCTATGGTAGAGACTGAAAGGCTGGAGAACATAAAAGTAATTAAAAATTGTAATGAACACTGGAGACAAAGTGGAAAGAGAGTGTTGGAGG